AGCAGGAGCAAAAGCATAGAGGTGTAATGGGCAACTGCAACAAGTGGGGGACCAAGTGGGAGCTGAAGCTGGGAAGGAACCTTTATGTATACATGACTATTACAAATGCCATGAAAACAAGATTGTTTTCGTTAACTGGTTGAAAAAATTCCTTCATCATCAAAATTAAGTTCTCTATCTTCTCAGAGATGACAAAATCAGCAAAGTGAAGTAGAACTTATCAGGTGCTCTGCTATCGGCTAAAAGAGGGAGACTTCCAGCAGACCCCTTGCTCATCACAGGTTCCCATCCCTGCTCTATCCAACCTCTGAGAGAGTTCTGAGATGTACTTCAGGAAAACATCACCCACCGACAAGTTGACCAAGAACTATAACAAGAAAACATCAAGATGTACCATAGGTCAGAACTTTTTATTCTGTCCAAGATGATAGGATGGACGTGGGTGGTTCAAAAAATGTACACCCTCTGTTCAGTCCAAAAAGGTGTCTCAAATGTCATCCTATATCATCATAACTTGGGACATGTCTATATTTTCTTCATAACTTCTCAGGGGCTCATTCAATAAATAAGTGGCCACCAGTTTTGTATAGGGTCCATGCTAGCTCCTATGTGAGGGGAAAGATCAGCTTGGGCCTTCTACATCTAACCCAAATTCCAAGCAATGGGAGCCACATCTTCCAGCGAGGCACCGTGGCCAACCCTGCTTCCAACTGTGGAGCCAGACCGTCTGGATTTGACTCCCAAATCCATCATATTTACAAGTTATTCAGACCCCCTTTGTCTTAGTTTCCTCACGTATAAAATGGGGATAATGACAAAGCCTACCACATAGGGTTGTTATGAGGACTAAGCCAAGTTAGTACATGTAATATAAGTTAGCATAGTACCTGGCGGATAGTAAGGACTCAAGCAGTGTTTGTTATTCCTACCATTTGCTGTGTGTCATACTTCATTTCAAGATTAACAATCAGGGGCGCCTGGCTGGCTCAGTCAGTAGAGCATTCAACCCTTGATCTGGGGGGTTATGAGTTTAAGCCCCACACTGAGTAGGGCCTGCTTAAAAAACTTAATAATCATACTCCTGGCTGGTAAAAAGATGCCAATGCCATGTAAACTATATCACGATATACTGTAACTTGAGTTTAAAAGCAAGTTACAGTGTCTCCTCTCTCTCTCTCAGAGGATAAGGGCATATGCAGCTGGCAGAGATTATTTCTGAGTGGTTTTTATTTTCTCCTTTATGTTTAAATCTATTTTACAAATTTAACATGGGCGTATAAGCAAAAAAAAAAGTTATTTAAAAATATTAAACAACATCAGTGAGAAAGACTTTAAGGATCCTATTTATCACTCTTTTCTAGGCTAGAATCTAAGCTTCACGATGGGAGAGGCAATGGCATCTCAGAGCCCATACCTGTTTCAGGCGGGCCCAAAGCCAAAGCAAGAACTGGGTCAAGCTCAATTCCCATCCCGAGCCCTTCTTTCGATTCCTCCTGCTTCCCTTTTCAGATGCCAATCAAGGGGGCTAATCGTTTTCCTTCATTCCACTAACATGTGTTGAGAGCCCACAGGGGCCCAGCACTGTACAAGGTGCTAAAGATAAAGAAGACTCTGCCCTTGGTGGCCTGTGATCTCATCCTACCCCTGCTGACCATCAGTTGCCATGGCCTGTAGCCCAAAGACAGTGCTCTCTGCAATCTTAGCTCTTACCCACTCCTGCCGAGCTCCTGCTTCTGCCCCACTTTGCTACAGATGACATAATCCCTACGCATCAGTCCTGATGTGTGTGCATCAGTCGAGTTCTGGCAGAAAACAGGATTGCACTCAAAAGGGCTTACCCAATAACTGAATAAAGGGACTACTCATAGAGCTGTGGGCAAGGTTCAGGGAACAAAGCAGGCATGCCAATGTCCTCAAGGACGAGGACCAGCAGGAAGCCATGACTACCCACAGTCCTGGAGGGGAAATAGTATTATTGGAGCCTATTGAAGATACAGTGATTATCTGTAATCACAGAGCAACACAATTGCTAGTTCCTGGCATTGAAGCAGTGAGAGAATGAGGAATAAATGCCCTGCTCTGTCATCTCCTGCCAGTGCCCATTCGGCTGAATCCACAAGCCAGAGAGCAAGGATGCCCAAGCCATACAGTACCTGGCAATGTGTTACTATCCGTAGTAACAGTTTCATGGTAGATCCAAGTGAAAAATGGCATCAGTTTCTGGTCTGGGTGAACTAATGGGGCAGATATTTTAAGGCAGACCTCCTCAGACCAGTTGTTCTAAGTAATTAATTCTCCAAATCCCTGCTCCTGTGGGTACTGGGAAAACGCTCATCAAAAGGCTAAATCAACGCATTGAAGCTTCATAGTTTTGTTTTTTTTTCTTTCACATTTTATTGACTATATTGGAAGTAGATCTGAAGGGTGAGGGGTGCTCTGTGGATTTGAGTACCTAGGCTGTCTCTAGCACGCCTTTGTTTTTAATGTTCATCGTAGACAGATGACGACCAGAAGTACACAAAGATGCCAACAGGTAAGCCGGGCATGGCCACAAACACACGCGCACCATTCTAAAGATGTCTCTTCCCCACACCTCAACTGTGGTGACTTTCAGCAGCAATGCCCACCCCCCCAGCCAAGGGGCATGAGGCAGAAGGTGGGAGACCAGAGGAAGGGAGAACTGGAAAGGAAAAGATGATGGGGCTCCCAGCTCCAGCTGGGTGGGAGAGGATGAGGGAGGCGACCGGGGACCGGTTTTCCTCCTCTCCAGGTCCCCCGCGTCTTCCTCCCTTACACCCATAAGCAGCATAGCAGGGTCCTGGTTCACAGTTCTGATTCTTCCCCTGGACTGCTTCCTTTGCAGTCACTTCCTTACCTCAGAAGGAAACTTCCTTGTCAGATCAGTAATGACAGTGGCTCCTTCCGTTTGTGTACCCTTTAGAGTCTGAAGAGTACTTCCACACACATTATCTCATTTACTCCTCACACCCCTTGTCAGGTCACAGAACTTTACCTTCTAGTGGTTGAGGAAACCGAGTCTCAGGGAACACGTTGCCTAAACGCACTGAGTAGGCAGTGTCAGAGTTTCTCTGTCTCTCAGCCACTGTTTCCCCGCACAATGATGAAAGGTTTCTTCAAGAAAGAAGATAGCAAAGGACTTAAAGGTGGACTGAGGTCATTATAAAGGAGGAAACCATGCGTAGTGAGGATAAAATGAACCAGGGCAATGACTCTCAAAGTGTTGTCTCCAGACCAGTGGCATTGGTAGCATCTGGGAATGTCTTAGAGGTGCAGATAATTGAGCCTCAGCCCAGACCTACTGAATCAGAAACATCAGAGGAAAGGGGAGGTTTGGGAACCTAGGTTTGAACAAACCCACCAGAAGATGCTGATGCATGCCAAAGTTTGGGAACCACTGCCTCCAGGGGAGAGGAGGTGGGGTGTGGTGGTAGCCTGAAGAGAACACACGGCTCCTGTTAGCATAAGGAGGAGCTGGGAAGGTAGTCACTGATTTCTGTGGATTCTAGAGATGGTGCTGATGGGTGAATGAAGACCGTTCAAGGCCACTGAAGCCTTGTTTGTAATAGCAGGAGACTAGAAACAACCCAAATATCCACCAATAGAGGATGGTCACATGAATTATGGTGCATCCATGTACTGGAACACTACACAGTGTAAAGCAGAATAAGAGGCTTGAGATATTTAGATATGGAAAAAATCCAAAGTACATTTAAATAAAAGAAGAAAAAGCAGGAGAGTTTATATAATATGTTAACTTTGATTTTAAAAAGGGGAGAACTAAGAACATATATTTGTATTTCCTTGTACCTATAAGAAGCTCCGGACAGAGACAAGAAATCATTCAGAGAGGAACCTGTGGATGGGAGAATGGGAAAGATGGAAACATATAGGATGTCAACTTTTCACTGCATTTCCTTTTCTAAAATTGTCCAACCCTGTAAATAGATTACCTATTCAGAAAAAATAAAAAATAAATAAAAACGGCCATTGGTGTAATTCAGCAAGGGAAGAACAAGAGACTGCCTCCTATGGAACAAGGATGGTGGGCATTTCCAAGGGCAGAATGAGCCAATAGAGGTCAAGGGTACCAAGTTCTGCCCACACCCACTGCCTCTCCCCTCCAGCTCAAACTCTCCCAGAATGGCCAAAACGCTTTGGGGGAGTTTAGACTTCTTAATAAGACCAGGACCAGCAGTTCTCGGCCTCAGCTACACATTAAAATCATCCGGGAAGGAACACCTGCGTGGCTCAGTCGGTTAATTGTCTGCCTTCAGCTCAGGTCATGATCCCAGGGTCCTGGAATCGAGTCCCGCATCGGGGTCCCTGCTCAGTGGGGAGTCTGCTTCTCCCTCTACCTGCCACTCCCCCTGCTTGTGCTCTCTCTCTCTCTCTCTCTGACAAATAAATGAATAAAATCTTTAAAATTAATAAAATAAAATCATCCGGGAAGTTTTTGGGCACGCGGGTGGCTCAGTCGGTTAAACATCTGCCTTTGGCTCAGGTTATGATCCCAGGATCCTGGGATCGAGTCCCACAGCAGGCTCCCTGCTTGTCGGGGAGCCTGCTTCTCCATCTCCCCCGACCCCCGGCTCATACTCTCTCTCGCTACCTCTCTCTCTCTCAAATAAATAAATAAAAATCCTTAAAAAAATAAATAAAAAATAAAATCATCTGGGAAGCTTTTAAAAATACCAATTGCCAGGCCCCGTTCCCAGAGCACCCAAATCCAAATCTCTGAGGAGGGGCCTAGGCATTGGTATTTTTAGAGTTCCTCAGTTATGATTCTAAACCACAGTCTTGGACCTTCTGGGTCAGCTCATTTATCCAGAAAGCTGGAGAGAGGAAGAGAGAGTATCCAATAGCTTAAAAGAAGAAATAACACATCCCATCGAACCTGTCATGATCAAATCTGACTGCAAAAATTTTTTTATCTGTCTTGATTGGAATCTGTGATGAACCTGTTTCTCCCCCCTTGGCAGCCCAATTCTGAAGCGAAGCCCTGATATCACCAAATCGCCACTGACCAAGTCAGAGCAGCTTCTGAGGATAGACGACCATGATTTCAGCATGAGGCCTGGCTTCGGAGGTATGAGACATGCGCTCATGGTGGGGTCTGTCCACCTGTCCACGGGTAGAAGTCAAACCAAGGGACCACCCTGCTTTGCTGTCCCCCAATCAGGTCTGCCTCCGTTGTGCTTGGGGGCCAAGACGGAGCCCACAGCATCTTCTGAGCATCCCCCTGCCCAGCCCCACCGTGGGCTCTGCTAAGCACATTCCCAGTCTAGCTAGCTGAGCTGTCCTCCGGCCGCTGCTCTGTCAGGAAGGCTGGGGACCGGTGAGGCCAGCTGGCTGTGGGCCAGGCCAGGGGAAGACCAGGCAGCTGCAGCCCAAAGCTGCCTCCTGAAAATGCTCAGAAATAACAATCTTTGACTAAATTCGTGCTCATCTGGGAGCGGGCAGATGGGACTGTAGGTGTCAATCCAAGGGCAGAGTGTGGTCTGCTGGATTTAATTAAATGAAAATAGCTTGAGAAAATAATGATCTAGTGCAGAGGGCTGTCACAGCCCTTTGAAGCTTAGCCTGCAGCTGGTGGATTTCAACCCCTTCAGTGTCAAGTAGGGTTTTCATCCATATAGGTTTCTTCCTGGAATAAAATATTTATTTTAGAAATCGTTCTCATTTTTTTATTTCTCCCAGCCACCTTCACCCAAAGAATAAACAGGTTCTAGAAGGGGGTCTCTATCCAATCCATAACCTGCCGCTGTTGGATCTAAACCTACCTCCATCCATGATAATCCAAGTGTGCTCCAAGCCTGCCCCAGTCCAGGGAGGGAAAGGGGCAGCAATCTATTCCCTTTATATGCTTTCCTTCTCTTGATGAATATTACGTTTTCATGGCCTAGAAATGCCAAAAAAAAAAAATTATAATGTTCCAAGGCCACCCTGGTGCATCATGTCCACCTTGGAAGCGACTCCATCATGTGGCAAAGATGCAGATCTCTGGGCTTGGCAAACGACCTGAATGTGGCTTTGGTTCTGGGTGCTTATTTACCAAGCAGTGCCTTTCTCATGGCCAGACAGAGACATTGGCTTCCATGACAAAATCAGGAGGCAAATATAAAGAATAAAGTAGATGACCTCATGCTAGGGAGTAACTCCTTAGATTAGACCCAGCTTTGAGCTAGGTCTTCACTGTACCTTTCAATGAGCATGTGTAACCAAAGAAGAAAGCTTCATGGAACCTCATCGTTTCGGAATCACCTGAATGATTCAGACAAAAGCTTAAAAAAAAAAAACAAAACAACAATAGCAACCTTTGTTGGAATATTCCAGGGAGCCAGCCCATGATTCAACCCTTTGATTTCTGGCTTCTCTTCAGCTTGACATGTGGGGATGCCAAACCTTCAAATCTGGCAGGAAGCTGAGGAAACGGGTTCCAGGGGGAATGCTCCTCATGCTTGTAGTAAAAATTCAAGTAAAAAGAATAAATGTTCTTGCCACGCCCCATTTGCAGGTCCGGCCATTCCTGTCGGTGTGGATGTACAGGTGGAGAGCTTGGACAGTATCTCAGAGGTCGACATGGTAAGCGCTTCTGTTGCTGGGGCTGCGGGCAGGTGGATTCACACGGGGCCTGTGTTGGGCCAGGATGTCCACACACCCGAATTCACTAGGTCTCACAACTCCCTGGGCCATGGCAATGCCCATACTCATTTTATAGGTGGCTCAGGAAGGTTAAGACACTTGCCAAAAGCCACCCAACTGGTATGAGACAGAGCTGGATGGCAAAGTTGATCTCCCTCCAGTGCCTAGGCTCTTGCCACGGGCATGTGCTCGCTAGGCAAAGGCTCTCCAACAGAAACGGTAGGGTTGCAGGTTGCAGCTGTCAACGACCAGATGTTCTACAGCTGGAGATCCTGTATCTGGCTGTGGAAATGCCGAACTGCTGAAAGGGGTCCCTTTTTTCCCTTTTCAGTGGGTTTAGGTGGGAAAATGGAAAGTTCTACAACTCCTCAACTTACAGGACTTGTTTACAGCCTTATCTTAGTTTGGGTTCTCCAAAAAGCAGACTTGAGAGAAACATTCTAGCACAAGAAGTTTATTTGGGAGGTGACCCCTGGAAACATGAGAAGAGTGGGGGGAGGTGAGACAGGGATGGGGAGAAAGCGAAAAGGCCCGTGCCTTCAAACCAGTTACTACTGTGAATCTCAGTCCCACTGGGGGAACTCCGAGAGTCAGCAAAGAACACACTCGGGGTTATCCCAGCTGAGGGGCCAAGGAGCCGGGGTGCTTATCTAGCCCTTCCCACCCACCGCGTCCCCCCAGCTCGTTGAGGTTCAGCAGTGCTGGCAGCAGCACCTTGTCAGTGTGGGGGCAGATGCCAGGGGATGGGCCGCGGAAACGGGGTTCCACTAGAAGTCTCTGGCTGAGTCCCTCCCCTGCAGTCCTCCTCCTACTGCAGCAAACCCCAGGGACCATGTGAAGACCTCCACTCTGCGGTTTCATTCCCAGCCGGGTGATGGCTCCACGGGGCACCCCGCGTCCTGCAGACACCCAGTAGGTTCAGTGTGTGGGGTTCCCCTCTCTCGCCCTCCCCTCCAGGACTTCACGATGACCCTCTACCTGAGGCACTACTGGAAGGACGAGAGGCTGTCCTTCCCGAGCACCAACAACCTCAGCATGACGTTTGACGGCCGGCTAGTGAAGAAGATCTGGGTCCCTGACATGTTTTTTGTGCACTCCAAGCGCTCCTTCATCCACGACACCACCACGGACAACGTCATGCTGCGGGTCCAGCCCGACGGGAAGGTGCTCTACAGCCTCCGGTGAGGCCCTGGCAGCCCCCCTGCGCCCGC